GGATGGGGTAGGTTAACAATTTTAGGATAGGGTCCAAATGGGGTTGAAAGACATTACATGAATCCTGGGGGATCCTCAATGTTCATATGTCCCTTCTCCCTGACTCACTTGCTTTTCCAGAAGTTTGAGTTTTGAGCATGACGACCCTCAAACCAAAGGTACCCAGGGTTACTGACCTGACCTTACTCGATAAGAGACATAGAAAGTGCACCTGACCACAGGTATAGTGTGACAATTAGCCTGACCAAAGGCCATAGGTTTTGTGTTTTTTGAGCGGAAGATACGTAGGGCCAGAATGTTTCGCACCAATGGATGGCTGAAGACCTCATGAATATTAAGTGTTTATGCATATTGAATATATCCTGAATAGCTAGTGCCTCCTGTAACTGGTGGACAGTACTACAGTAAATATTTAGTACTCGGATGCCTTGGAAATACTAGGTACCTCTTGGCCCTTCCATCCCTTTCTATCTCTATGTTTAACACAAACATGCTGGTCTTACACATAACACATTTCATGAATTCTGAAGTCAGACAAACTTCTTGCTACTTACCTAAACTCAAAACATCTTAAAATGTTTTACCTATGACTTATACGCTATAAACTACTTTATCATTAATAAGAGAATTGAATAATCTCAAAAGTAAATGTATATTACATCTGTATTATCAACTTAATCTAGACTTTTATATGGAAATTTCAATATGAAGGAAACAAATGTGAAGTAATAAATCTGAATGTTTGGATAATTAGATATTATTTTTACTGAGATTGAAAATGACAAGTCAAAAACTAGATTTTGTTTTAGTTAAAAAATTAATGAAATTTCAAGGAATTCCCAAGGAATTTCAATGAAATATAGCCATACTATTTTGACTAACCTACATGTGCAATTTCTTCACTTAAAGGTATAGTAGGAAGAAAACAAGGAAAATCCTAATAAGCTTTGAAATTTATCAGTTTTCGTATAATGCTGTTGATATGGAGTTCATTCTCAGTAAAAGGAAATTGATGATCAACATATAAGATATACAATAACTCAATAAAACAAAGACAGTCTATAGGAAGTCTATGGAAATCCAAACATTAAACCAGAGCAATTTTCCTATCATCTTGGATATGTGGGAATTTACTTACCTCATTTTGAAACCAAGACCAAAATTAATTCTTACATTCTGACCCTGCTGCTTTTAAGGCACAAAACTGTTGGCTTCTCCTCTAGGACAACCAAAAGGCAGTTAATGAATAATAAAAAATTTTTGAAATAGAGTAGGAATAATCTGTCAGAGTGGGTTCTTCATACAGCACATGCAGCCTCATGTGTGTGCCTTTTACTTTTCAGGAAATGCTTGATATAATGAAAGCAATATATGATATGATGGGTAAATGCACATATCCTGTCCTCAAGGAAGATGCTCCTAGACAACACGTCGAAACATTTTTCCAGGTAGGAATGCAAGTAGAAGTCAGAGAGGGAGTGAAAAAGAGTAAATTTCCTATGCTTGCAAAGTGTCATGATAATTCAAAAAAAAGCAAAAGAAAAAAAAACACTTTTACTGAAGGGACAAAGCAATAGAATATTAACCATCATACTAATTTAGTAATTTTGGTTTTGAATTTTTTAGAATACTGATAACTACACTTATTGAACATTCACTATATCCTAGACAGAACACTAAGGAATTGCTGTGTTTTTCATGTTTTTATGTTTGTTTTCAATAAATTCTCAAAAGAATCCTTATGGTTATAAATACTCTTTAGCCTCAATTTACAGATGAGAAAACCAAACTCTGAAAGTGTCCGCAAACTGCCTGAACTGTCATAGCTAGAGGGCCAGATTTTATCTAGGGCGATTTTAGAGGTCTACCACATTCTACTGAAAAGGGAACAGCCTAACAGCAGTTGGCCATATGATTCTTTTATTTTATTATGTTATGTTAATCACCATACATTACATCATTAGTTTTTGATGTACTGTTCCATGATTCATTGTTTGCGTATAACACCCAGTGCTCCATGCAGTACGTGCCCACCTTAATACCCATCACCGGGCTAACCCATCCTCCCACCCCCCTCCCCTCTAGAACCCTCAGTTTGTTTCTCAGAGTCCACAGTCTCTCATGGTTCGTCTACCCCTCTGATTCCCCCCCTTCATTTTTCCCTTCCTGCTATCTTCTTTTTTTACATATAATGTATTGTTTCAGAGGTACAGATCTGTGATTCAACAGTCTTACACAATTCACAGCACTCACCATAGCACATACCCTCCCAACGTTTCACCCAGCCACCCCATCCCTCCCACCCCCACCACTCCAGCAACCCTCAGTTTGTTTCCTGAGATTAAGAATTCCTCATATTAGTGAAATCATATGATACATGTCTTTCTCTGATTGACTTATTTCGCTTAGCATAATACCCTCTAATTCCATCCATGTTATTGTAAATGGCAAGATTTCATTTTTTTGATGGCTGCATAATATGCTAATGTATATATATACCACATCTTCTTTATCCATTCATCTGTCGATGGACATCTTGGCTCTTTCCATAGTTTGGCTATTGTGGACATTGCTGCTATAAACATTGGGGTGCACGTACCCCTTCGGATCCCTACATTGGCCATAAGATTCTTATCACTAAGAAAGGACTAGCTCGTGCTCTGAAGCAGATCCTCCCTGTAAAACAGGCAGGTGGACTCTTCATCAGCTTCAGCTGTGAGGGTATCAAGGGAGGTTATCAAAGGAGGGTACCAAGGGAGAACTCTGAATGAAGTTTTTTGTTCTTTTCTTCCTGAACAGAAAATGGACAAAAATAAAGATGGAGTTGTTACCATAGATGAATTCATTGAAAGTTGCCAAAAAGTAAGTAATGATAGTAAAGAAACTGTGCCTTTTGCTTTCATAATAATCAGACTAAGTAGAGTCAGCTAGCCACCATGAACTGAGCAAAGCACAACGCTGACCTAAGTTTACCACTTGTACCCAGCTAAGAGAAGCCTACCACTCTGAAAACAGGCATCAATTTATAATTCAATTAATTAACATTTATAGAGTGCCTACCTTGAGGAGAGCCATGTAGAAAGCCCTAAACATACCAATGTTACACATATACTGCATTTTTGTTTCCTAATTAGAGAGTCTTCGTCACTGAGGGTTAAAACATATGTGAGATTTGAATTGCTCTTTGCCCAGACTGAGCATATAACATATTATCTCTATAGATTTAGAATTCCAGTACAGCAAAGTATACATCACAGGCAAAGTTTGCATTCAATTTCTGAAGGAAACATACTGCTTTAATGTATGAGCACCAGAAATGGCTTTTCGGTTGAACCAGTAAAGGTCTTCGGTCATAAAAAATAAAGAGTGGAAAACTCAGAGGAGAAATCCAAATGGTTTTCCGTTATCTGGTGGGAGACCAGTTTTAGCTTACCTAAAACTATTTGATTTGATGCCTGGGTAGAGCCAAAATTAAGAATAAATACTTAAGATAAACGTAGAGACAACGAGGTTTATTGATACTTTAGCTTTTCTCTTTATTTTCAAATTGATATATTTTCCCTTTCTTGGTGCCTGCTTGCTTCTAAACTCCTATTTCGATGTGGTGGTCTCTAAGAGCGTTAACTTGGTGACATCAACCTGCTGATGCTGTTCCTTGGCTTCTAGCACCAGAAGTCAGCACAAGTTTAGCTACTATTTACCATTACTATAAACCGTTCACCAAGGGCCATTCACAATCTTCAAGTGCCTCCATAATGCTCAAAGTCTGTCCCCTTGTTTCTAAGGGATATGCTAAATTGAACACAGCCACTGGCCCAAGGTGGCTCTGAAACAATCCCTTCTCTGGCGTTTTTAAAGGCTCCTAACGGGCCCCAACAGACCCAAAGAGAGAGGTGAAAGGACTACAGACATGTCTCCCAAGCCCCAACCTCTAATCCTCAATGGAGTTGCCTCTTAGCTCACACACAAACCCTGTTTCCTTCTACACGTACAAGTCTCTGTGACTTGGCCCGCGATCTACCTGGAATGCCAAAATTTGCATTTGCTCACTTATTTTTAGTCTTACCCTTGGCGCCTCTCTAGTTTTCATTCTGCCATTCCAATTTGAGAAATATTTTCTATTAACACCAAGTGAGATTCAAATGAAATATTTAAAGCCTGCAGACTCAACAAAATGTAAAATGGGCTCTCCATACTTATCTATATGGAAAATGGATAGGATGATATTTATATGTGCAAACACTTAGTATTCGAGCTTTAGGCCTAAGCAGTGGTGGGAGAGGCAGTACTTAGAGGCAAAAAAGTGTCCCTTCCCTTACAGAGATACTTAATTTAATCCCACTGTGTTTCTCCCTTACAGGATGAAAACATAATGCGCTCCATGCAGCTCTTTGAAAATGTGATTTAACTTGTTAAATGCATCCTCAATCAAACAGACAAACGTGAACTACTCTACCACACTTAAAGTTGGCGCTACCACTCTTAGCATAGATTGCTCAGCTTTACACTGAGGCATATTATGCAAACAAGCTCTGTTTTAATATAAAGCAATCCCCAAAAGATCTGAGTTTTCCAGTTACAAATTTGCATCCTTTTCATAATGCCACTGAGTTCATGGGATGTTCTAAGTCATTTCATACCCTGTGACTATTCAAAAGTAATAGAATCTGGCATATAGATTTATTGATTCTTTAGCCATGGGATTATTGAGCTTTCACATTATCAGTAATTTTAAAATATCAGTGTTTTTTGCTACTCAACTGGATGTATTCAGCCCCAGGATTTTAAATGGTTTTCTAAAATATTGGCATCTGCATTTAATTTCCAGAAATTAATTTTCATGTTTGTATGCTGTAATTCCATTTATACACTAAGTAAACAAAACAAGATTACTATAATTAAAAAACAAACAAACACACAGTTCCAATTTCTATGGATTTGCCACCTTCTGTTAAAGATATTCATTTATCTGGCATTTTTTATAACATGAAACAAATTAGTTCATCATCAGATGTCAGCATATGCCTAATAAAGCTTATTTAATAAGGATTTCTTAATTTTTCATAATACATATTACAGCCAAGGCCTACATGATGTATATAATTTTGGATTTGTCCAATTCTACAGATTGACTGTTTTCTATTGTGTCATTAAGTGGAGGTCCAAGAAGGTGTGGAACAAAGCAAAGATGTTTATAGGCATATGCAAAGGGTCAAGATATCTGCCCTCCAGTACATGGTAATACTTAATGCCAAGTAATTTCTAACAGCATTGAAGGCCTATTCCGCCCCCTTTCCCTTGACTCCTTCAAGGTACCTTTCTTTTACATGCCATTCAGGGCCAAAGAGACCTGGACTACCCCAATGCCTACAGGGAACCAAGAGCAAGCAGAATTCACTTTAAAACCATCAGTGAGTCCATTCTATCAAGAACTACCATACCAAAACCTCACTGAAAATGAAAATAAATGCCAAGCAATTCATCTGGACTGTATTATGATTTTGCTCATCATAAAACTCCAATAATTCAGATTCTTTTTAATGATCATAAGCCAAAATTGTAAAGTTGCCACAACACTACTAAGGATACACACACCCTCCCTGTTTTGCAGAAATCTCATAAAGACCAAGAGGCTACAGTAGGAGGAAATTTGCAACTGTCTTTGCAACAATAAATCAGGTATCTATTCTGGTGTAGAGATAGGATGTTGAAAGCTGCCCTGCTATCACCAGTGTAGAAATTAAGAGTAGTACAATACATGTACACTGAAATTTGCCATCGCGTGTTTGTGTAAACTCAATGTGCATTTTGTATTTCAAAAAGAAAAAATAAAAGCAAATAAAATGTTTATAACTCTACTGTCTATGTTATAGGTATTTATTCCAACAAATTTTATAAGTACTAGATTAAAAATATTGTTTTTCTTACGGCATTGTAGGATTGTACATATCTTTGCCTTAGGGTGGTGCTAAGTACAATGAAGAAAAGTAAAAGCAACGCCCGTGGGCAGGCACACATTTTAGCTAATAGGATCTGAGGATGTGACAGGTGAGTAGAGACCTAAGAAAAGAATATCCCAGATAGGAGGACCAGGAAGGACAAGAACTCTGAGGGACGCACGGGCATTTCTGCAATTATGATTCTTCAGAAATTACTTGTACTCTTTTAAATTCCAGCTGTGAGATTGTATCTGAAATGAGAATTACAAAGAGGTCATTCCACATATTTGAGGGATGGAGCAAGGAAGGTATTCTTCAGTGGTGCTGAGATATATATAATATGGCTGTTCCCCCAAATAAAAGAGTGACCGCTGATCTGCGTCCCTCCAAAAGTATGTCTGCTTTGGATTTGGTGTGACTACTCACGTCCCTATGGCCTCCCTTCTTGCCCATAGGATGGAAAATCTTATTCCTGTTTCCTCTTTCTCACCCTATTCCTCTCTCTTGTAGAATGATCCAGGTTCAGCTTCTATAATGTCATCACTGAGAACTATGCCTGTAAAGTAGGTTTTAAAAGCTTTTTAAGTTAAATTAATTGTTAAACATAAGCAAACACAACAAAATCACTGGGTACAATTTAAGAGCTTTAAGATTTTAATTTCTGAATACCTTCATGAAATGAGTATCAGACTATGGGTTACAAAAATAACATTTACTTAAATATAATTAAATATAATTAACACCTAAAGTTCAGGTAGTTTTAATGAGTTGTAATAAATAACATATTTACAAAAGAATTTACACATTTTAAAAAATGTCTTAAACTAGAATACTCTGGTATGAAATTCTTCCAAGTATTCTATATCATAAAATACATATTTACAGACAATAATTAACAGTGAATTCACAAATGTCTGTCCACTACTTTAAATTTCCATAGCCTTGATAAATATAAAACCCAAGAAATGACAAAATATTTAAAAATAAGTGCATAACTACAAACTGATTGTGAAAGGGATACTATAAATAAAAGGCACTGGAAAATAAATACAAACACATCTATTATAAACCCAATTATGGTTGTTCGCACCAAACTGTAAAAATATGAAAAACCAACCCCACAAAACTGTACTATTATAGAACTGTGTTTAATAGCTTTCCATCATTGACCATTCTTTTTTTTGTTGATGAATAACTTTTACTATGATTCAGTGGAACTGTGTATACTCATCTTAATCTAGGAAATAATGAATGGTGACTGTGATTGACAAAAGAATAAACGGAAGTGAATCTGAAAAGGTTCCCTAGGTACCCATGGACAGCATTTAACACCTGTCACCAGGGAGTAACAAGATTTTTGTGGGCTCCCTTCTTCAACAGCATATGGAGCAGTATGTTGGAATTTTAGATTTGATGATGATAAGGCTTCCCTGTCAACAGAAAAAAAAATTAGCTTCATTAGTATTGTGTAGGGTTCCCCTGATAGGTATTACATCTATAAGAGCATGCCTAAAAAAGTATCTGAAACTCAAAACAAACAAAATGGAATGAGAACAAAATGATGGAAGGAGAAGTGGTACTTTTTTGTGAGTTGAGTAAAATATAGGTTGTATAGGTTGTCTCTTACTAATGTTTTAAAAAAATATTTAATTAGAGAAGTAGTTAGGAACCAGATCACCAGTATATGAATCCAGCTTCTGTCAGTCAAATCTGGGGCTAATTATTTCTGAGCCTCAGTTTCTAGATCTTTAAAAGGGGATAATAACAAAATCTACCCCTGAGAGCTGCAGTGAGGATTCAATGACTTTCATGCCCAAAAAATACTCAACTGAGGGGCGCATGGGTGGCTCAGTTGGTTAAGCATCTGCCTTCGGCTCAGGTCATGATCTCAGGGTCCTGGGATCAAGCAGGTGTGGGGCTCCCTGCTCAGCAGGGAGCCTGCTTGTCCCTCTCCCTCTGCCCCTAGCCACCACTCATTCTCTTTGTCTCTCTCTCAAATAATTAAATAAAATCTTTTAATAAATTAATAAATTAAAATAAAAAGTACTCAATTGAGTCCCTGATATGTAATCACTTCCCACGTGCTCAATCAAGATTGGGGTGGGTCCAAGTATGTACCTTTTCCAAGACAGATGTGCCTATGACTTAGGATGAAAATTATATCAAGGTAAGAGTGAACTGACTACTATTTAAGGCAGGTAGTAAACTGATCAGTTTTAAGAAAATGACACTGTGCCTGGAGCTGACTTTCCTGTCTTCCCAGAGGCTGAGTGTCTCCATCGTTGGTGGACACACAAGCCCCAAGGAATGAGAAACTGCAATACTGAGAAGACTCTTTTAAAGACTCATCTCTATTTATTTTAAAAAAGAGAAAAATATATAGACATTTAAGTTTTTAGTAGAGAAAAAAGGGCATTTGTTAATTTCATGAGGGATTACAGAATACCAAAAGCAAGCATAATGGTCATTAGGCCACCAGAAAGTGTGATCAATTATTTTATTAATGGTGCGCCAACAGAAAATCTCTGATCAAATATTATTATTAAATTATTAAAATATCATGTAAGACATTAGATGAACAAGAAGAGAAAAAGTCTGAAGGAATAAGCAATACTTAACTTCAAAATGTTTTTAATTCTGTCTGTATTAGCAGGATTCAAAAGTAATGAGACTGAGTGGCAGTAAGAGTAACTCCCTTGCTAGCTAACCCTGTGGCCCTGGGCTGGAGATCGACATCCCTCTGTGTTCCCCTCTAAATCTCAGAATGCAATTTCTAAAGTTTATTTACTTGAAGACTATGCCCTCTTCTGCACATTCACCCTTGGAATCTAACATGTTGGGCCTGTCCCTTTTCTCTTGCCCCATTCCACAGAATGTGTGAAAATATCCTGGGGAGAGTTTCAGATCGAAAGCTGTGCCATCAATATTTAGCATCTATTTACTTGCATTTCACAATGACAAATTATTTTGCATTCCAATTCTCAGAAGCGCATTTGCAAGCAAAAAGAATTTCCTTTCTGCTGAGAGACACTGGATTGGCTGGGGGATGGTTGTGTACATCTCAACAAGGTGTCTGAATGCTAATCCTCCACACAACAAAGAAATCTGTTATCTAGTGGTCTAGGGACTTACTTCTTCCTCCTAAACTTTATTCTAGGCATTCCTCATGGAAAGAATATAATGTATCTTTTTTTTTTTTTTTAAGATTTTATTTATTTATTTGAGAGAGAGAGAGAGCACATGAGAAGGGGGAGGATCAGAGGGAGAGGCAGACTCCCCGCTGAGCAGGGAGCCCGATGCGGGACTCAATCCTGGGACTCCAGGACCGTGACCTGAGCCGAAGGCAGTCGCTTAACCAACTGAGCCACCCAGGCGCCCAAGAATATAACATATCTTAACAGTGACCGGAATTGGTCAAATTAGGTAATCTAGACAAAGCTTAAACTAATACATCTGCCATTTTAAAATTGTATATGATCACAGAAATTATTTTCTATATAGTTCCTTTAGAAAGTACCTCCGATGAAACTAAGTTCTTCAGTGTTAAAATAATCACATGCAAGCCTATCATTAAGATCTGATTAAATGTAATCTCTAAAACAAGGTAGAATCACTGCTTTACAGAAATACTTCCAAGACTAGATTATGTGAACACTTCTTTAAACGATGAAAATTCAATTAACTTAGTTATTTGACACCACACAGATACTAATGAGAGCTCCCCCATTCTTGCACATTCCTACAAGTCAGAACACTCGGATTCATTCTTGCGTGTGTATGCGTGTGCATACACGTGTTCCTGAACATGTGCACTTCCAGACATGGTATCACAGCCATCTGGAAATCTCATTTAATCTTGGAAGATGGGAAATTTGTAAATTTTTTAGACAAAAAAGATGGCAAATGAAAGAAAAAAAAAGTACATTCTTCAATGAGCTCTTTTATATTAATCCTTTTGTTTTCTGAACTTTCCTATGGTCTAGGCAAAAACATCCAAAATAAAAAAAATTGCAAATCCTCACCACATGGAGTGTCGTATAGAAAGCACAGAGAAAGTGTAGGGGCCCAGCATTTACAGTCTGGTCTGAATCCCAATGCTTACAAACTGTGACCTATGCAAGACAGAAACTCCGAGCTCTCAAATGAAAATAATATCAACTCCACATGATTACTTGTGGCTGAAATAATACACGTTATACAATTTTGTAGTGTAAAAGTAAAAAAAAATAAGACAAGGAATAATGTTTTACTTACATTTCCACCATGCTGCTCTAGCTTCTGTAAAGCACTGGTGATTGGCTCTTTGAATTTCTTATCCCTCAGTCTCTTGGAAAGCTTTTAAAGTAAGATTGGGAGAATGAAATGATTTGAGAAGTAACAATATTCACCATAGGCATTTAAGTAAAACTTCACTAAAAAGTATGCTAACTAGAAATAAAACCACTGAGACCTTACTGTATAGAAGTATTTATTAATATATTATTATAACATTAAATACACTATTTAATATGTTTTAGACACCAAGGCTTCTTTTAGAAAATATCTCGTTGAAACTTATATATATTAGACACCATATATTTGTTAAAAGAGAATTCATATTATTTCATTTCAAATTGTACAAATCCTGTAAAACCTGCTACAGTATGGTATCCAGAGTAAGTTTTCTATGAAACTGCGTACTTTTCCATTTTGTATTTTGCAAGAGCACTTGGAGGACCATGATGGAAAGCGAAGCCTCTTAAAACACATGTGTTTCCTATAGTGTAAGAAAGGGAAGAGACAAAAAGGAGAGAGCATTCACATGAACAACTCTGTAACAGTGACAGTTAGGACATTCAGACTACAAACCACAAGACCATCTGTCCCTAGGCATGGCTTGAATGGGCTTCAGGTAGAAAGGTGGAAGTCTGACTGAAAAGGGAGAGCACAAGGTGAGGGAGGATAGAATCATAGGAACAAAGAGGGAAAAACAGCAACTGAGATCATCAGGCACAACCTATAATAGTGTTCTCCCACCAAATGTCTACGTTACTCAACTCCCCCACTAAACATTTCAGCCTAGAGCAGGACGTGCTCATGGCTCCACTTTCTGGGAATATAAATGAAGCCCAGGCAAGAATTAGTCAGTGATCAAATACTTATACGGGCCTGTCCTAGACTTGGTTTCTGGTTCTTCCTCTTCACACGGATGGGAGAAACCCAGGACTGCTTCCCACCACTGAGCACTGAGTAGCAATCCCTTCAGTCAGGTCAATGAAGATGAGGGAGGGTCAGAAAAATCCCCAAAAGAAAAAAAATGTGATGGGGCACCTGGGTGGCTCAGTCGTTAAGCGTCTGCCTTTGGCTCAGGTCATGATCCCAGGGTCCTGGGATCGAGCCCCGCATCAGGATCCCTGCTCTGCGGGAAGTCTGCTTCTCCCTCTCCCACTCCCCCTGCTTGTGTTCCCTCTCTCACTGTGTCTCTGTCAGATAAATAAAATCTTAAAAAAAAAATGAGAGAAAAAAAGAAAAAAATGTGAGAAAAGCAACTCTAAATGAGAGGACAGGTAGCCCTGTGGATGGACAAGAAAAAGTGCCTCTTGGGGCACCTGGGGGGCTTGGTCAGTTGGGCTTCTGACTCTTGATCTCAGCTCAGGTCTTGAACTCAGGGTCATGAGTTCAAGCCCCTCATTGGGCTCCATGCTGGACATGCAGCTTACTTGGAAAAAAAAATAAATAAATAAAAGAGAAGAGAAGAGAAGAGAAAAGAAAAAAGAAAAGAAAAGAAAAGAAAAAAAAGAAAAAGTGCCTCTTGCAAAATCAGATCTCTGGTTTGCTTTCTGTAGACCCCATTACCTGGGAGCAGTGGCTTATGGGCAGATACATGAAGCACCACCTCCAGGATCACCTGATATACTCATTCAAAAATTACAGATTCTAGGGTCCTACCCGATACTTACTTAACCAGAATCTCAGGGCAAAGGCCTAGCTTCTGCATTTTTATCAAGATTCCCAGGTGATTTATTTCCTCTTTCCCACAGGGTCAGTAGAAGTTGAGTTGAAGCTACGAAAGGATTTGACTTATTTTGAATATGAGTGAAATGATTTGTATATGGGCTCAGTAACTGGTTTTGAAATTCTTTTTCTAGTCAAGGAAACCCTTCAAATGACATCTAATGCAGAGGTCTATAAACAAAAAATATGTAAATCAAAATGGAGTCTTTCTGGCTAAGAGGGGTAAGTGAGGTAAGGAGGGAGTACCAAAGCACCTCAATGGATCCTCAGGGGTGCCTGTCTCATGGTGGTGTGTAGCTAACAGACCAAGATTTAATCCCACATGGCCTATTGCCGAGGGTCTCTCTTCTACGGAATCCAACCGGCATACAAAGGCCAGTGTGGTATCCAGATCCTCCCCAAAGTGTTGACACTCCAGGAAGGTGAAAGGCCCCTTTAAGTCAGTCCAGTGTAAGAAAAAGCAGGGTTCTGGGGAGGAATGTGAGTGACCAAACATTAATGCTACTGCCCCAGAAAAATTAAAACAAACAAACTTACGTAGTTTAGTTGTTAAACTGGCCTTTATCTTTCTGCATTGGTGAGTGGGACTGGGAGGCTATTTAGGAAACAGAGGTTCTTGGCCTTGCTCAACTTCGAGTGAGGGGAAGGATCCAGCGTAATTCCTTTTCTCTGCATATCACATCCCCTTCACCTCATTCCAACCTTCTCAGTGGATATCCTTGCTACTTATTTCTCCAAAAAACAAAAACCGATCTCCACAAGGGCAGAGGGCATATCGTTTTCTGTTCAGCATTATAGTCCCAGTGCCTATAGCATAATACTTGGCACAAAACGGGAGGGCAGAGGGCAACAGATTGTTGATTGTCTGACTGGAGCAATCAATCTAAAATGAGTCATTTTATTTATCAGGGTGAAATTCCTGTGGTTAGTCAGGTACAACTTGCTGACCTAAACATTACAAGCAAAAACCTGCCAGGATTCTCTTCCTTCTCTCCAAAGGCTTCCCACATATTATTTGAGAGTCTATTTCCACTGTGTCTTTTCCCCACCAAACACCTGATGCTGGTGGGAATTCATCTCCCGCCATTCCTAACCCCAGCATAGCAATCCTGATAGATTCACTACCATCCCTACTTTCTATAGGCTTGGCCAGATGTTTCTGGGGTGTATTAGTCTCTCTGAAGAGTAAGAAGTTAACAATACAGTTCTAGGATCTCTCAGATGAATGTGTCTAGGAAAAAACAGTGGAACTATGATCAAAATACATGCCTCAGCTCTGAACTACAGAAGGATGCACATAGAGAAATGCTAGCTGTGGGTTATTCCAGCAAGGACTTTAATGGTTTATCAGTGTGCGCAGTAAAGGATTAACTTCGCCTAAAGAAAGGATTGGCCCTTGTCCCTGGCTCCTAGACGGACACTTCTAAGCCTTTGGTATGACCTGCCAGATAAGAGTACCTTTGTTTCCCCAGGGGGCCTTGGGCCACAGGATCTCAGCTCAACGTCTAGAGAGGCCAAAGACTAAGGTCAGTCATGCAAGCAGCCAGTCCTGCTGGCACGGAAGCCCCTAACGTGAACCCTGGACACCACGCTAACGTGAGTTTCTCAGGATGGTAATACCCCACGTGTGTTCCCACATATCGCTGCTGGAAAAAGCCAGCACTGTCCACACAACTCCGCTGGGAAGAAGGACAACTGGAGGCTCCACACTTGGTCCCTCCCGGGCTCTGCTCTATGTACCTCCTTCCTTCGCTGATTTTAACTGGTATCCTTTCACTGTAATAAACTGAAACAGGAAATAACAGCTTTTCTGAGTTTCATGAGTCCTTCTAGCAACCTAAGGGTGGTCTTGGGAAACTCCTGAACTGTCCAATATCCCACTCTGTACTTGTCCTCAGGATTAAACTACACACAACAGGAAAAAGTCTCATCCTGAATACTATTTATAGACTCACTAAGAAACTTACAAGAAAAACCGAAGAAAAAGATGAACACATGGCTGTGGCGATGCACAAGCACACAGGAGGGTGTATAAGCCGTCCTCATAATTCACGGCTAATCAACATAGGCATAATACCATTGTGCTGTCCATTAATTTTTGTCCATTCAACTTTTGCTTGGTTTTTCTTACAACCCTAAATTCTGCTCATGTAGGTGCTTTCCATTAAAAAAAATTTAAAGAGAATACTGTACATTTGTAAAATATTTTATGAACTACTAGGTCTTATCTATATTTTTTAAAGAACGATGAGTTTTTTTTAAGATTTCTGAATCAGTTAATGATTAATTTGAAACCAGTGAATCATGACGAGATAGTGCATGATACACATACCCAACCATTCTCTCATCTTTTCAGTACTTACACTTGTAAGCAGATGTTTAAGATGGTCATTTAGAGAAGGACCGACAACGACACTCAGCTGCACGAGCGCATTCAGTCCTCTTGCAAACACTTCATCATCCAGGTGGACCTGGGGGGTTAGTTGGGACAGGAAAGGAAAGAGGAGAAAAGGAAAGTTAAGTAAGAAGAAAGGTCAAACCAGAAAAAAGTTAAGATTGAACATTCAAAATCAGAAGATAAGCAACTAAACCCAGAATCTACCTTTAATGCCAGACCATCTAGAAACAAAGAAAATAAATTTCCGGCTTGACTGAAACACTAGCTAAACCATATTGCAGCATGCAGCAAGCCTGATGTGAGGTTTATTACTTTCTCTAATTACTCAAAATGTCCCCTTTTATCTTTCGCATATCCTCTAAAGGCGTCTTCAAATAAGTAATCATCTGTCCCTGAATAATGGTGGCCTAATTTTGCACGGACATCAAAATCACAGGTAAAGGACCAATTTGCATATAATTTGGAAGAAAAAAGACATAAAATACTCTAAACGTACCACAGAAAGTCCAAAAGAACAGAAAATTACCAGAGCTGCCTTTAGCGCAGGAATCAGTCTTGGAAGCAAAGGTACAGCTTTCTCAGGAGCTCCTTGGACCAACAGTAATTCTCTAAAACCCTCCTTTGACACAAAGGTGTATGGATGTTTAGTCTCTCTCAAACCCTGCCAAAGACAAAACGAACAAACAAGACTTACTACGCACCTGGTTATGCTAACAACAAAATTAAATCCTCACTAGTCTAAATGAAAATCAAGCTTTATTATGGTTTTCCTAATCATGATTTATAATTTCAGTAATTACGATTTCAATTAAACCCAGAAATTGTGGAACAAAGGACATACATGAGACAGGAAGAATTTCTACCCACAGCAAGGAAGAAAAATGTTTTAAAAATGAAAGGAACAGGAAAAAGGAAAGGAAAAGCAAAGGAAAAATAAAGGAAATAAAGAAGAAAGAGAAAGGAAGGAGAGGAAAGGTAAATAAGTAAAAGAAAAAAGAAAAAGAAACCCTAAGATATTGAAAACATTTTGTATATACTCCCAAATACTGCCTGAAAGCACAGCAACTCAATCTCAAATGCTGGTTTATAACCACCATTTTATGGACATAATTATTGGATCTCCTATCTTTATGGTGACTTTGCAACTTGTTTAATGAGTTTCTAAAGTATTATATTTCCTTCATATTTAAATATTTTACATTAAGGTATTTTAAAACATCTTTTCCTATGTTCAAAAACCACTGTAAGATTTTAAATGTCATTTTTAACTTTGGGATGTAAAATAAAAATATGAAAAAAACCTGTATCATTTCTTTCGCCCTAAATGCATCAGAAACTATTAGTACTCTTTTATGATTTAACCCATCACTTTGAGTCAAGATTGAAGGGCCATCTGGCTTTTTTTAAAAACATCAAACAAAAAAAGCAACAGCAATACTCCCTCAGTTGGACTTATTATTTTCTGTGAATAAGTATAACTGGCTACAAAGTCATGCCTAAAAATACTAATTTTCAACCAATTTGTCCTTTGGACCAAACTATCTGCTTCCAAATAGTGATTCAACACTTCCTTTCCTGGATGCTCTTGAAAACTGTGCTGCCAAGCACACCAGCACCACTTTGGACCACAGGTTCTAGCATCTTAAGAGTGCCCCTATCCCCTTATCCCGTTCATTTTAGAGATGAGGAATCAGGTCAAGAGGTGAAGTGGATTCCCATAGTGGTGGTCCTGTCAGTACTTCCCCATTATTAAATGAGTAGAGGGGAAGGCTAAGAATCTACCCAACACAGAAATAAAGGCATTGGGTGTTTGGAAAATAATTATTTAAAGGACTGACCTTTATGTGATCTTCACTAAACACAGACTCCCTGTAGGGACTCCCCAAATTAAAGCACTCCCCTCCCCTTGTGGTTAGCTGGAGCATGTTTTCAAAGGTGTCACTATGGTACTGATTCATCTAAAAAACGGTTTAAAATTCTTAAAAGAACAAATGAAATACTGATATATTTTAAGCTTTTAATACCAAGTTTAAAAGACTTTAATCAAAATTGAATTTCAAATAGGCTACCCATAAAAATATACTGCTATCATACCAAAATGATTTTGCAATAAATTAAAAATAAAGGACAACAAAAATGATCCTTAGCTCTTAAAAAAGACAAATATCTATAACTTAAATATAAGACAACAGGTTAATTCATTTCTCAACTTGTGACTCTAGCAAAAGGAATAAATTTCACAGAAGAGATCACTGATTCACCTCAAGCTAATACTCTGCCAACTTTTTCCTGATATAAATGTTAAATAATATAAAGGAATTTATCAGAAGTTTTCCTAAAATCCTCTATCAAAATGATGTCCATGACATTCTACTCAAAATGTAAAGGCAGGCAAAAGTCCAGAGAATTCTCCAAAAGGACGTTTAAGTAGTTAATATCAGTTCCCTAAGAAACATCACGTTTACATTAAGCATGACTGGTTGTATAGAAATAGATCAACCACTCATTGTTATCTGATGTAGTTTAAGTTAAACCGCTACTGTTCTCCTGATAGGACTAGTTCCATATGACTCTAAGTGCTTTTATTTTGGGGATTAAGTATGAATATTTCATCCACTTATCCACAAATCTCTGTGTAGACGAACTTGTTTATAAACCCGATTAATCAGTTCCTAATAAACATATACTGATGATAATTAATTCCTAAGGGAGTGTGGTATTTTAATGACTATTGCATGGCTCTTATTTCAAAAGTAAAGAATAAGATTCACTGATGCATTAAAAAATAATATCTAATACAATTTTTAAAGTTTTTTTTTTTTCCATAAACATTCAGGAAAAATGGAATATACATTTACCTCAGCTAAAGTAATAAGAAGAGGATCAAATGGAAGATTTTCAGGAGGACATTCCCACTGTAATCTGTGTTTCACTGAACCATGGACCAATCTAAAATAATAAACATCAGTGAACATAACATGGACAATGTAATTATATGCTAGGCAGTAATTATGAAAGGATATTACAAAGACATCTTGTGCAGCCATGTCTATAATCCCACAAACTCCTACTCTTTCAGCAAATTGTTTGATGGCAAAACTAAACTTCATATTTGTTAAGCCTACAGTTTCAGAGTTCAAGCATGCTGCTGTCTGTGAGTCTTAATACAAATGCTACACTTGACATGTTTCAGTCATATTTATAACAAAATAGATAACCTACAGATGTGCAAAGAAATGTGATAATGAGAAATAGTAACTTGTTTTATATGGAACATTATTTTTCAGATATGGATCACTTAACCCTAATGATCTGAAGACAAGCCGGATTTTAGCCCTGCTAAAACAGACGAAAAATGAGGGCAGGAGGTTAAGTAGCCCACACAAGGTTACAAAGTGGTAGCCCTTTCAATTAGAGTCATTGCTGTTTTTTGTTTTTTGTTTTTTTTACAGCCTTTACTGAGGCATAACCAACATTCAATAGGGGCACCTAGGTGGCTCAGTCATTTATGCGTCTGCCTTTGGCTCAGTCATGATCTTGAGGTCCTGGGATGGAGCCCCTTGCTGGGCTCCCTGCTTGCTTAGCGGGGAATCTGCTTCTCCCTCTCCCTCTACCTCTGCTCCCTCCCCCCACTTGTGCTTTCTCTCTCTCAAATAAATAAAATCTTTAAAAAAAAAATAACCAACATTCAAAAACCTGCACATGGTTATAAAGTGTAAAATTTAATATAAGTTTTGATGTGTGAATACATCAATGAGCCATCATAATTATGACAGTGAACTTATACATCACCCTCAAATGTTTCCTCACACTTCTGTAACATTCTCAACTTCTTGACACCTTCTTTAGCATCATTTTCTTCATAGCAAGAGGCCTTGGTAACATTTTTACTATTTTAGCAACCATAATTGCTTGGAGTGGGAAAGGGGGGGTATAAGAACCTTAAAATACAGTTTCAACTCAGAATGTAAATAAAAAAATACTAACAATAAAATGAAGAGTGCTTCTTGAGCTTATTCCTCCAAATCTGCAAATACCATTAAAAACTACATTTCTTGAATTTTAGAACAACAGAATGTTGTGATCACTCTTTTCACAATGAAAATGACACTTTCCATCATCTAGATCAGTCTAAAACTGGATATACCTAGAAGAAATAAATGTTTCTTGGTAGTGAAATCTTAAAATGGTATCACTCTATTAGTAACTATATTGTTTTCTTTAAAACAGTTCTGATGTGTATCCTGAAAGGTGGCAAGAACTGTATGAAAAGTGAGCAAAAACAGCTGTTATGTACTTATTTAGAAATATAATTTTTTGAAATTTTTGAAATACCATTTCAAAAAATAATGAACAGTTTCATTAAATTGTCAACTTTCAGTTTACAAACAAAATAGGACTATTTACTTGCAACTTGCCCAAGCATGTGAAGGCTTATATTGTTTCAGAAACTGGTTCATTCAATTTCTTAAATTATAGATCTATTGGTAATTCTATTTTGGAATTAAAATGATCTTCTTCAACAATGTCCCACGATCTATACCAGTCCAACAGCCAAAGCATGAATAAGTCACCTTTATTTCAACCTCCTTAGTAAATAAAATTTTCAATACATTTAAACTAACTACTGTTATTGGTTTTACTCAATTATTTTGAATAATATGGTCAGTTATAACCTGTATTGATTTTACCTGCAAGGAATACCTCCTTTAGAGTAAATGGCTGCAAATGCAGAAGGAGCTCGTGACTGTTCACCAAACTGAAATAAAAAATGACAAGAATACGATAAATATACTATCACCTCCACTTTGTGATGATACCTAATCAATTTTAATCCTGCTGAGGTCAGAGGTGAATGGACATCCTGACTTTCAGCCCATGACACTGGTATCAGGTGCATCACTCTACTCAGCAACACAACTGAGGAAAATTACCAATCCTCTCAGTACTAGAACCACAACCACACATTCTATATTTCGTTTATACCCGTTCTAACTTGTTTTGGGAGGCTTGAAGGCAGCTGGAATCACATGTATAGTAAATATAATATAGATAAATACTATTAAGAATGAACATCACAAATAAGTATAATAAAGGCAATACATCATTCTACTCTCCACCACTATGACCTTTCAAGGTGAGGGGTCCGTGGAGAAGAGGAGGTAAGTATAGGGAAAGCAGATTTGTTTTCAACCTCCAGCACATCTCCTACTTGTCCTCCAGGCAAATATAGATGTCTGGATGGCCAGAGAACCTGTAATTTCCCCAAACTTGTTTTACGCTTCTCTAAAAAAGAAAGGCTTAGAATGGGCAGGGGTGATAGAACTGAAGACAGAGCAAGGCTCTCACAAACATATGCCTGGATGTATCTGCTCAGATACAGAACTTCACAACTTTCAGTTTGTCTATGTACTATCTTAAGAATAAATTAACTCTATTCCCAAAGACCATGTAAGAGGTGATCAAGCACAACAGCTCAACAATCACAGCATACATAATTTCAATACAGTTGATCAGAGACACAGATAATTTAGGCACAAAAAGTAAATATTTTATCACATGGTACTTTGAACATAATCAAATGAAATATAGTTGTCTAAATTACAAAACACAAACTTATTAACCTATTTTAAAGATAAAACTAGCTACAAAATATTTTAAAATCACATGCAGTAATTAAAAAATATATTCAAGGGTATAAGTTTAGAATTAGCTCTTTTTCCTCCAGAAAAACACGTTTGAAGTTAAAACACATAGATGAAATTTCAGTATCATACAATATTATAGTAAGATTCATTTACAAACTTCAATCCACATTCTGCATAATAATTCACAGAAATAGTAATGTTTCATTCATCTAATTCCTACTAAGAAAAGTATGTTTTAAAAACTGTTTTCATGTAATCTTATTAAATAAGGGGACTTGAAAAAATGTTCTTATTATGGGGGAAAAATTAAGACAACTTAGGGCCACAGACACTTTTTTTAGTTCTAGCACCTATTAGCAAATGATCTTACTTTTTGGACCTACAGGTCATGTAAATAATCCCTAAATTTCCAAAACACCCACCAAGACAAAATTTCTGATTGAAATTCTAAGCAATTCCTTTCCTTTCTTTTTCAACTCGTTTTAGAGATAATCATAGTTTCATCTTCTAGGTTGCACATTATCAAAAATGTTTTTTCTACCAATGGGTTCTTTTTATAAATTTTTACCAAATTTTACCAAAATTCTAATACCATGAAAAAAACTTTATCCTTTCAATTTTTAACAATTATCACAGACCATATTTCAACTCTAAAATACTCAACATTATTAAATATACCCCACTATACTTTTTTTTTTTTTTTTTTTTTTTACATTCAAAACCAATGAATTCTCCAAAACAAACAGTGGTATAACAACACTCAGGTGTGGAAAACCTGAATGTTACCAGCACCCTAGAAACCTCCTCAGTGCCTCATCCCAATCCCTAACTACCTCTTCCCCCAATGGTGAACTCTGACTTACTTTGGATTGGTAGCTTTTACAGATCTTAAACATGGTCTTGTATAATATACTGTATTCTCAGGTCAAATCATTATTTCTCAAAATTTTCCTTCATTTTTTCTTTTTTTAAGATTATTTATTTATTTATTTATTTATTTGACAGAGAGGGAACACAAACAGGGGGAGTGGGAGAGGGAGAAGCAGGCTTCCCGCAGAGCAGGGAGCCCAATGCGGGGCTCGATCCCAGGACCCTGGGATCATGACCTGAGCCGAAGGCAGATGCTTAACGACTGAGCCACCCAGGCGCCCCAAAACTTTCCTTCATTTTTAATAAAATTTAAAATTAGGGCTATTACTACTTAAAAATGTTCTTCAAAGAGAGGAAGAAGACTCAAGTGTCACCATGAATTCTCTCAAATGGGGGGAGAAAAGAAGCAAGAACAAGGAGATAGCAGGGCATTCTTCAGGAATTCAACTTGACACTGCAGATTAAAGAAAGAAGCAAGGGAACACATATGCTTACACTATTTTTCATTTGTAAAGTCAGACGATCTCCTTCTGCCCTAGGCCAGTTCATTGTATCCTTGGTGTACTTTACCTGCCATCAAAGTCAGCGTCTCAGCTCCTAATTCCCTTAAAGGCTGAAACCGTGATCATCTGAACCTATGCAAGGCTGGGCAGACACCACCTGGTGTTGCAGCACAGATTTGCTCACTTTTTGGATAATTCACTGATCCACACACTTATAACTATTCACTTTCATGTGCATAAATCTCATGTTTGTTAAACATGATTAAATTGCTGTCAGAAGGCAAAAGAAGGCTAGTACTGTAGTTGGGATTTCTGGGGGAGCTAATTTATAGATCAGAGCAGCATCGTCAGAGATGTTTATGCAACTATGGAAGCACGTAATTCATCCTATGTCAATTGAATACAAGTTTATTCATTGATATTAGAAAGTAACAGAACTATATTAAATAAAAAATAAAGCTGATGTGCAATTCATTTTATACTCTAGTACACTCATCCATGAATGTGATAGGATATACCTCAACTGGTTATTCTCTATACCTTCTCACTTCCACACTCACATCATTATTTCCATTCTTCATCATGATTACCATATGCTCTTTGTCAATAGCTTAAATGTAAGCAAAAAAAAAAATTACAAACAAAAGGAACTTGGGACAGTATTCAGAACGATTCAACAGTGCACTAAATGTCTATTACTTTGAAAAATCTACTGAGTCAGGAATGTCTTTTGTACCTACCGGGTTAATGGTCTTAGGGTTAAGTTTATCACTTGGTCGAGGATGAAGTTTTCTTGCAGTCTCTGGAGAACTGGTTGACGAGGAGGAGTTGCTTTTTTGAACTGTAGTCCTATGTTTTATTTGTATGCTTGATGATGTCCTTTGATCACAGCTACCTGGAAAAAAACAGAAGCTCAACCAAAAAAAAGAGGTGAAAGAGATAAAGCTCTCTCTTATCCATCTGCATAACAATGTGTCATTAACAAACTTCACCTCTTCATTTAAAAAACAATGTTCTGTACCTGCCTTTCTGTTTCTCAAATGTACTCCTCCATGGCACTCTGATTTCTGCATTGCTTCCCTTTTACTCCTGCAGTCAAATGAAACTTGATTTCAGAATTTGGGGAATGAGGGATTCATTAACAACGTAAGATCAAAACAGAACAGAGTAGAAAATATAAAAAAAATACACAAAAAAGGTATGGCATGGAACCAAATACCAGAAAGACCAATGAGAAAATATGAAATTATATCAACTTCAATAATATCAATAACAGCAAATGGAAAACAATCTGTAAGAAAGTAAGATGTATAAGAATAAACTTTCTTTTCCATTCATACTGTCAAAATATGCTTTTAGAAACTCAATTGCAAACCTCTGGCTATATTCAGAAAATATGGACTAGATGAGAGACTATGGACTCTGAGAAACAAACTGAGGGTTTTAGAGGGGAGGTGATGGGTATTAAGGAGGGCACATACTGCATGGAGCACTGGATGTTATATGAAAACAATGAATCGTGGATCACTACATCAAAAACTAATGATGTATTGTATGGTGACTAACATAACATAATAAAATTAAAAAAAAAAAAAAGATTTCTGAAAGGAGAAAGTGGTTGGCACATCCCCTAGCATCTCTATCTTCTCTGGCCTCGTATTCCCAAAGTTCCAAACACTAACATCAGCATATCAAGTCCTATTTTTCAAGTGACATAATGAACTCTCCTACTCAATGTACTACAAGCTCCTTAAACTGAACATAACCCAAACTAAGGTTATCACACTGAAGTTATGGAGCCCTTGTTAATTCAAGGTACCACCAATTTTCTGGTCCCTCATGCTGAAAAATTTAAGATCCTCTTTCCCTTCATTTCCTGCACTCAACCCTACAGATGTGATCAATGTGGTGTGATAAGGTAGGAGCTGTTGGCTCAGACCAGGTCTGTATCCTCATCTCTATTATGAATTTAGGCAGATTATTTAATCCCCCTAAGTCTCAAGATTTCCAGACCTATTAAAAGGGGAGAATAATACAAGTCTATGAAGACTGTTCCTGAGGAGTAAATAAGTTGCTCATCCATCCAGTGCTCAACCAGCCACCGATGGTTCACTTCTCCCTCTTCCACAAGTCCCTCTTTTCTGCTAATGGGAGGACTCTAGTTTGCAGTGATGGTTTTCTGCCTAATTAAACAAATTACTTCTCAACTTTCATCTCTACCAAAGAACCCTCCATCACACGCACCCAGATTCATATACCCAACTGCCTGCTGGTATTTCTAGGTCTAGCTCCAATCCCAAGTAGCACGCAGCCTTTCCTGATCTTCTTTCTCTGTTTCTCAAATGTACACTTTCATGGCACTCTGATTCCTGCACTCTTTCCTTCTTATTTCTACTAGATCACTCCATTCCCTCACTTGCACAACACTCCAGTCATTCTTCCACTATAGCATTTCCCACTTTAAGCCTTTAATATTGTTTTTAAATATATAAACTACCCCTCAACTACACTGTAGGATCTTTCTTTAAGGCAATACAGGTGAAGTCTTCTTCCACTTCCAAATGACAGTTTTTCAAATAGTTGAAGACAGACTCTCAACTCCTTAGTTTTCTCTTCTTCAGGATAAACACTGATGCTTTTTCAAGTGATTCCTCATGAGATTATTTTAATCTACTTGACAAATTAGAAATCTTCAAAAGGACGAAACTCCACTTAATTCAGACCCAAAATATTTCAAACATGATGTGACCATTTCAAAGTGCCTTGTAAGGATAAATTAAATGTAAGATTGTTTCATACACAGAACAATTTTAAATTTCAATTTTCTTGATTTAATATATTCACCTAATTTTTCTCATCCTACTACCAGCAGATGACTTACCTCCCAATATCACACTTCACACTCATTCCCAAGGCATTTTTCACAATTATGGTAATTAATGCCTCATTGAATTTGTCAGGTAATATTCTAAGATAAGGTAAGGCAGGCTTTAAATATGTCGACCTACATTGCACTTCAGTGAATGTTCAGTAAGTATTTACTGTCGCACCAGGTTTCTGCTTTGAGACGGTCCTGATGGGAATAATATGATCTAAGTTTCTGTTTAAATAAATAAATGTGTCTCTGCTTCTTCAGCTGTAATTGGGGGTAATTACAGTAACTACTTTTAATGTTGATTAAGACTAATAAATTAATATTTATTTTGATCGTAAACTTTAATAACTGTTATAGCTGAAAAGAAGCACAAAGATCCTACCCACAAACATAAGAAAAGCAGAGTTGGCCACATCAAATCATGATGCACATATTTCAACACCACCTACCAAATCTACAAAAGTTTTTGTTGGAACAACAAATTTCTATCTTCCTTTATGTGAAAAAGTTGTTCCTGAGAGGTACTAGTAGGAAGGTGCTGCATTATTTTTTGAATGAGCTCCAAAAGCCATGGAAACTCTTCATTTGAAAAATTTTTATAAAACATGCCAGAAAATTGAGCTTCCAAAGGTTTTATGCATACAGGCAGTTTTACATGTAATATACTTATGTAACTTCCAGCAGTAACATCAAAACACACATACACTCTGTATCAGAGAGCTTCTTTCCAAAAAACAAATATTTTTCACTTGTTGTTAAAAGTATCACCCTTTACCTTACAAATTAAGTATTCCCGATTTTTAAAAATAATATCCATCCGGCAGGAGTGCCTGGGTCGCTCAGTTAAGCGTCCAACTCTTGATTTCTGCTCCGGGTCCTGAGATCGAGCCCCCAAGACTGGCTCTGTGCTCAGCAGAGTCTGCTTGAGATTCTCCACCCCCCCCCCCACCCCTGCGCACTCTCACTCTAAATAAATAAATAAAATCTTTAAAAACATATATCCATCTGGGAGCATACCACTGCCAAGACTAGTACATAAGTTGCCTGTAGAAGATAACTGCTTTATTCATCTTACACTTAACTCTCTTGAGTGCTTTTCCATTAACACATGGAGGGTGGTGTAAAGAGATAGTAATGGTGAGAGGAAGTGCAAAGCTAAGAACTATTTTGTGCTACAAATATTATCAGTCACCTCTCATTCTTTTACAAAACAATACAAAGATTCTAAACAGGCACGACAGTCCACTTGACCCAAACATCTAAACTATGTCATAATATCAGAGAGCAAGCAGCCCAAGCAGGGTCCACAGTGGAACCCTCGCTCTCCCTTAAGTTTCCTTAGGTGCTGTGGCCCATCTGCTCATCGGAAAGGGACTGTGGAGATCTGCGTCAATGATAGGAAAGCATACTTTTGTTGCATTATTTTGGATAGGTCACATATCCTATTTCTTTCCCCATACGCATTCTCTTCCCGCACCACGCTCTGAGGCCACTGCCCTCACTACAGGGCTTGCTAAATTATCAGGGGGCAGGGCCACGTTTCTTCCTACTCTCTCACCCACTGTTTAGAAAGTTCCAAAAGCGTAACAGACACCCCACTAAAGAAGCCATGATCTATCCCTAGGGCTCCTTCAAATTCTAAAGTGCAGCGACAGAACCCAATATCCACCTATCTCAATTCCTTAGTAAAGTAAATCCAAAGGGCCAGCATTAAGAGTCTTAAAATCTGCTTTCCATTTTCCTACCCTCTTACCCTCCAACACCATACATCTCCAAATACTTAAGAACAGTTCAAAGCCAGGGTGCTGTCAAAGTTAGAAAATAAGGACGACGTGGGGGGGGGGGGAGGAGAGTTTGTTTTGTTTTGTTTTTAGCGGGGGGGGGGGGGGCGTTGACGGGTAGACGGCCAGTTTTCCATTAGGGCCAACGAGGGCTACTCTCCGCCAAAGCCGGAACCCTAGAAAGGAAGGGTGCGCTCTCGGCGCTCTGCAGCTCCAAGGCCCTTGGCAACCGAGTCCGGCGGCCTTAGCAACAAGCCAGCGAGGAAGCCAGCAGGGCCATGACAGCGCGGGCGGCACCGCGGAATCCCCGCACCCCTGGCCCAGGGCACCCACACCCCGTTCCTACCGCGTTTCTCTCCCGCGGCGATCCGCACACCAGCCGCCACGCCGGGTGGGAGCTTTGCCCGGCGCCCTCTCCCAACTACCTCACTCCCGTCACCCGCCTCCGGGATTCGGGGAAAATGAGGCCTCGCGCGGTGCCCGGATCTGGCGGCGCCGCGCAGTGACGTCAGACGCATGCTGCGTTCGCGCGGTGCCCGGATCTGGCGGCGCCGCGCAGTGACGTCAGACGCATGCTGCGTCCTCTCGGCCTCCCGCAGGGAGGATGCACAGGCGCGGAGCGGAAGAGGGTTGCCCTGGCAACGAGGCGCTCGGAGTTGAAAAGGGCAGCTTCCAGCTAGTCAGGCGTTGTGTGGTGACAAAGGGGCACCTGGTGGAGGGTCTTTAAGAACGGCTGAGAAGTCCAGGGAGCGGAGGAGAGCACACACTCCGAATTCCCTGCACCACAATCTTTCCCCAGTCCGTGTACCTAACTCTTTAACACTTCTCTCGCACACTTAAAATTCTGTTTTCTCCACGTGCTCGGCACCATGAACTCCAGCCCCAGGATGTTCAGCGGAGGGAGCCAAAGCCTTCTGCCTGCCCAGCTGTAGAATTTCGTTTCCTGTCTTAACTTTCTAATTCGCATGCCGTCGTGTTCAACTACATAATACATCCGTATCTCAATAAAGTGCGTGTGCTTTTTAACTAAAGATCATTTTAATAAAACTGATGCTGCAAAAAATGCACGTCCCCTTGTGATTCCACCTAGGTTGGAAACCCAACTCCATCACTTACGAGCTATGAGACCTTGTGCAAGTCGTAGCAAGAAGCCCAAGCCCTTCAGATCTGTGCACTGCATTCCTTCTGTTGTCATCCCGTAGCCTTCCCTTTTTGTTCAGGTAACAACTGACTATACACTTGTCACTGTCCGAGCAGTCCAGGCAGTGTAATCCCTCCCTGTCCTGGTAGCTCCGTTCTTGCTTCCTGAATTACTGCTGTGGAAGCTCCTTCGACAGGCTGTGGGTTTCTTCATGACAATGACTGACTTTTCCCTTCGATTCTCCTTCTAACACAATGCAGCAGGGACTCAGGAAATACTCTGAATAAATGAAACGAACAAATGAATTCTATGTATATCTAATTCTTCAAATGACTTGCACACAAGTCTAAGATTTCGAAATTCATGATGAATTTACCCATCTTCCCCATGGGACTGAAACTGTCTCTATCCCTTTTCTATACCCAATTGGCACAATGTGTGCTTAAGTAGTGTTTAAAAAAAAGAGAAAAAAGATCCTTTTTCTTAGCTATTTTCACCTTATGAGCTCTCTTCTCCAGATTCTCCATGCCTTATTATACCTCCTTGCCCTCTTCCTCCCACCTAGCATACCCACTGATAGACTTAGCAACACCTAGCTCATGGCCTTTTAGGCCCTCTGTCTGGAGTGTAAGAATAATTTGTATTCAGTACTGCAGAGAAGTGAAGTGCACATGTTCTGAAGTTAGGCCACCTAGGTTGGAAACCCAACTCCATCACTTACGAGCTATGAGACCTTGTGCAAGTCATTTAACCCCTCTAAGCCTTAATTTCCTCATCATAATAAGGTTCATGTAAGACTTAAGAGCACAAGTAAAGTTCCTAACACACAGGAGGAACTTGGTAAGTATTTGCCAGTGCAATTGTTGAGGTGAAACCCAGTTAAAGTTTGCGAGTACACTGTGTTGTGGGCATATCACACTATGCCTTGGTGTTAGTATGAGACCCTGAATAGTGACATGGATTTTTCAGATTTTTAAAAATAACCACAATTACTTGTGTGAGCCTCTCCTAATTGTAATTAAATCAGCCTCTTGTAAATTTTCTATCTTCATTTTGGAAAGTAAAGAAACAGCTTCAATGGCATTGTGGCTTTGTCTGGATATCATGCAGTAAATGGTGGATACTTTCTTGGACAAACTAATTTGAGAAACCTGTGAGACATCCAGGTGAATGTGACCAGAAGACAGTTGGCTATCCGCATCTAGTGTGGAGGGGCAGGAGCTGTGGATTTTACAGTCATCAGTGAATAGACAGTAACTGAGGCCATAGGAGTACTTAGTGTACTCCAGGGAGAGCATGTAGGGTGTAAGAAACGGAAAGCCAGTAGTAGACTTGGGTCTCTGAATCCTGTTCTAGTTTCAGGGTTTTAATTCTCTATTTGGAGAGAGTATAGAGGGAGCAAATGGTTGACCTATGTGTCTAGGATTATGGCAAATGATTCTGAAAAGACAGTAAGTACTACGTATATCCCCTATGCCCCTACAGATTTACTCTCCGCTCCTCTCCACCCTGCTGTATAAACACTGGGAAGCTGATCACAATGGACTGGCATCAACAAGGCTCCCATGCCCATTGGATTACACTTGGGTTTGGCCAATGGGGAAACTTAACAATAAATTGTATTTAATAAATTGAATTCGGGGAGAGTGAAATCAGAAGATTTATTCTTCTGCTTCATCTCTAGAAGTTTCCCTGGAACTGGCTATATCCCTGAATGAAGGTCACAGTTCCTTTCTAAATGGCCAGATTCAGGACTACAGGTACCAAATCTCAGGTGCTATACTAGCCCTTGATTAGTGCACTGTCTCTGCAGTTACCCTGTACTTTAATAAATAGTCCCTTTGTAAATAAATCCTCACCTAATTATCCTATTTTAATGTATCACTACATGTTGTATAAGATTATGAATTAGATAAGTCTAATCAAAACTGAAAAATCACATATTTTCTCATTGTTTTGATTTCTATTTCACTTGTGAAAGTGTCTTAATTATACTTCTTTAGTCACCAAACATTTTTAAGAAAATATCAGAGGTATTATTGGTTTGGCCTTAATTACTTTAAAGAAAATCTTTTCCTTTTTGTACAAATTACAGACCAACTGATCATTCCCAATTATCAGGCAATGAGATATAAGCTATTTCTTAATGTTATTTCTAGTACAACCTGTCAGGAGATGTTAGACATTATCATTATATAATCATCAAGAGCCCACAGGGAAAAGTTAATTTTAATTTTAATTTTTTCCATATGGAAAACATTAAGCAGTAATAGTAGCTACTTAGGTGAAAGTAAAGGAGATCAACAGGAATAAGGATACAAGGGCCGCATTTTCCAATGGAAATATAATGTGAGTCACATATGAAATTTAAAATTTCCTAGCAGGCACATTTTTTTTAAAGATTTATTTATTTATTTATTTGAGAGAGAGAGAGAGCACGAGCAGGAGGGGCAGAAGGAGAGGCAGAGAGAATCTCAAGCATTTTGTGCCAAGCACAGAGCCAGTGACGGGCCAGTCATGGGGCTCCATCTCAGGACCCTGAGATCACGACCTGAGCCCCAATCAAGAGTAGGACACTTAACCAACTGCCCCCTAGCAGGCACATTTTTAAAAAGTAAAAACAAACAGGTGAACTTAAGTTTAATACTGTATTTTACTTATTATATTTTATATTATGTTTTCTATAATATTTCATATTTATATAAATGAATATCTTATTTATATAAAAATGGCCAAACATGTCCAAAATATTAGCAATCTGCAATGATTACAAAAAATATTAGCATGATATTTTACATTCTTGTATTGTACTAAATCTTCAAAATCAGGTACATATTTGACATTTACAGAGGATCTCAATTCAGACTAGCCACAATTCCTCAGGAGCCACATGTGGCTGGTGGTGATCAGACTGGAGAGTGGGAAGAGAGGCTATGGCCTAACATAGTTGTACAAACATAGAGCCAAATAAAGAAATGGAGTGTATCGAATAGTTACAGAGTACACACTTCGTGTAGAATATACCATTCGGTGTTGGAAGGTCAATGCAAAATGTAAATAGAAAACTAATTAATTTTTTATGAATCTCTGTAGAATCCATGCAGTTAACAACTTCCTCTATGATTCATAGTGGAATTTCATTTCTTTTCCAAATTCCCTTCTTGTCTTTGGAGGAAACATAATCTTCTCCTTGGAGATGTGTTGGAGAGGGAGTGCTGAAGCTTGGAGGGGTCAGGCATCGGGTCCTCTGTTGTCCTCTGCCTGTGTCACCATCTGCCAAAAAGTACTTTGACTTTTCTGGTCCTCAGTCATATAGCCTCTGTCCATGTAGACTGTTCATGCATCTCTCTTATTCCAAGTTCTCATTCATAGCCAATTCCACTCTCCTCTTCAGTGCCCAGGAAATAGTCTATTCTTCTATCTGAAGTGAGAGAAACTCATGTGTTAGTTTCCACACGGTGGGGATCATGGGAAACTGTAAGACTGCCTTTGAGTCCTTTGCCTAGGCACGTCACCTGGCTATTTCTTCTGATCCTGTGCCCTACAAGGTTCAGGAGTATCTAGAGGGTGTCAGGGGGCATTAGTTCTGAGACACTGTCCTGGGGGTCAGCTGAAAAGTGGGCAGGGCAGGGCACACTGCCTCCTTACACTCAGCTCTGGACCGTGACTCTGAATGATGGACTATTCTTCCATCTCTTCCAAATAACGACTGGTCCTGGGACTTGGCTGTTGAAACTTCAAGGCCAAGAATTTGACTCTTGTTGTCAGTACTTTTATAATGATGTCCCCCTCTCTGAGGCAAGAGGCATAAAATACTCCAGCTGTAATCTGCACGGAGAAAGTGTCATGAGGTAGCAGGAAATACTATTTTTATAGAAACTATTATATTAGTTTTTAACTTATTTTAGGATATTTTAAAAGATTTTTTTATTCTGAAGTGTCAGTCAGAATACTATACCATTTAAAGTGTTTCATCACACTTAGTTCAACTATAGCTTATTAAATTGAGGTTTAGGGGTAGATGAAAAAGGAATGGGCTTCTCACATGTCTATCAGAAATTAATTCTTTTACTGCTACATCTTGGGTTAATGATTCTTCCTTCATAAAGTCATTTACAACAGGGCTAAAAGAAATGCAAAGCCCTGACTTTGTCTCTTTGTACATTCTGACAGGTGTCCATAGTGATGATGTCAAGTTATAATTGAAAACCTGTTCACGTGACTTCATCCGTATAACATCAACAGTTAAGAGTACCTGATGTAGTCTTTTGCCGAGAAAATTGTTAGTTTGTTAGAGAACTTAATTTCTGATCCATGGCTTGTGGAGGAAACTTTATGTCCTTGCTACTCATAGTGTAGTCCTCAGATCACCACCACCACCTCCACCACCACCACCATCATCATCATCTGGGAGCTTGTTAGAAATACAGAAGGTCAGGCCCCACCCTAGGTCTACTGAATCAGACTACATTTTACCAAGATTCCCCAGATGAGGAAATGTATTTTACAGATTAAGAAGCACTGATTTAGGCATGTGTGAGGGAGAAGCAGAAACTACCCCTTTATGGTAAAGAGTTGTTCCTGTTAAATTATTATAAAAAACACAATATCAAAATGAGGGAGAATGTAACTCTCCATTGAGGTATAATGCATCATAGTTTTATAGGGATATAGCCAAAGATGACACTGAAAGAACATATTGTGAATGTGAGGGCTGTTGAGGGTTGAGTTTTATCTCCCCCCAGATTCATATGTTGAATCAATAAGGGATCAATAGTATGCAGCTAGTGATCTGGCAAATGCCTTTTTCTCCATACTTTCCATAAGGCTCACCAGAAAGAGTTTGCTTTCATTTGGCAAGGCCACCAATATACCTTCACTGTCTTATATCAGGACATAATTTAGTCTATAAGGATCTTGATCTCAGACCAAGGACATTTCCCTTCTCTAAGATAGCATACTGGTCTATTACACTGACAATTAATATGCTGATTGGACCTAGTGAACAAGAAGTAGCAACTACTCTGGACTTATTGGTAAGTCATTTGCCTCGACCTTTGAAATTTCTAGGAGTCCAGTGATGTGGGGCATGTCAAGATATTCCTTCCCAGGTGAAGTTAAGTTGTTGCATCTGACCCTTCCTACAACTAAAAAAGAGGCACAATGCCTACTGGGCCTCTTTGGACTTTGGAGGCAACATATTTGTCATTTGGGTGTGTTACTCTGGCCCACTTACAGAGTGACCTGAAAAGCAGCTAGTTTTGAGTGGGCCCCAGAAAGCAGGTCCAAGCTGCCATGTAAACTTATGGCTTACGACTTGGGCCATATGATACAGCAGATCCAATGTTGCTTGAGGTGTCAGTAGCAAATAGAGATGCTGTTTAGACACAAAGTAATCATTTTATTGAGGTGGATGAGAAGCAGGTTTTAAAGCTTTTCCCAAATTCTCCCATATCCTTCATATTCCCTGGTGCACACTTCACCTGATGTGATAGTTCATTTTATGTGTCCAGTTATCTGGGCCACAGTGCCTAGGTATGTGGTTAAACAGTATTCTGGATGTTTCTGTAAGGGTGGTTTTTTGTTTTGTTTTGTTTTGTTTTGTTTTTACATATTTTATTTATTTATTTGACAAAGAGAGACACATAGAGAGAGAGGGAACACAAGCAGGGGAGTGGGAGAGGGAGAAGCAGGCTTCCTGCTGAGCAGGGAGCCCAATGCAGGGCTCAATCCCAGGACCCTGGGATCATGACCTGAGCCAAAGACAGACGCTTAATGACTGAGCCACCCAGGCGCCCCTGTAAGGGTATTTTTGAATGAGATTAACGTTTATATTGATGGACTTTGAATAAAACAGATTGCTCTCCATAATGTGGGTGGGCCTCATCCAATCAGTTGAAGGCCCAAGGAGACTAGATGAATGACCTCTTCCAAGCAAAAGGAAATTCTGCAGTAGACAGCACTTGGACTTGAATTGCCACATCAGATCCCTCCTGGGTCTCCAGCCTGCCAGGCCATCCTGCAGATGTAGACCTGCTACCTTCCATAATTGCATCAGCCAATTCCTTAAAATAAATGTTTCTATGAAGAGCTCCCTAAACCCATTGTCAATTGAAAATACAGTAAGTCAAAAAATGCATTTAGTACACCTAAGCTTCCAAACATCATAGTTCAGCCTAGCTTATTTTAAATGTGTCCCGACACTGACGTTAGCCTACAGTTGGGCAAAATGATGTCACAAAGCCTTTTTTTATAATAAAGTACTGAATTTCTCATAAGATTTATTAACTACTGTACTGAAAATGAAAAAAAGAGAGTGGTTGCATGGGCACAGAATGGTTGTAAGTGTAATTGGTTGCTGACCCTCACGATCCCCTGACTGCCCGGGAGCTGCCGCTTGCTGTCCCGTCCAGCATCGCAATAGAGTATTGGATTGCATATCACCAGCCCAGGAAAAGATCCACATTCAATACTCAAAGTACAGTTTCTACTGAATGCACATTGCTTTTACGCCATCATGAAATTGAAAATTTGTAAGTCAAACCATCATAAGTAGGGGACCATCTGTATATTAACACATCTTCTCAGTTCCGTTTCTCTGGAAAATAATACACCAGATTTCTCCATGCTGTGAAGTAAATTCCAGTTGCCCTGCAGAGCAGCCTTGAAAAGCAGTCTCAAAGCTCTATAAAAAGTTAATCTGTGATCCCAGCCTCTACCTCCCACCCCTAGAATCTCTAAAATACTTGTTCTGTGTTGAAGGGCACTGGCTGAGTTTGGTCTCCAGCTCCCACACTGGTTTAAAGAAGGAGATCAAAGCTGAGAATAAATTGAATGGGTCCAAAGAGCAGAGTGAAGGTAAATGACTAAGTTAGCTTCATTAGTGATGTCTATATATTTTCTGATTACAGCCAAATACAGTTAGGATGAAACATTCTTGATTAGCTGTCTTCACTGGGAAGATTATCAGATAATTGCCAATTTTTGCTTTCACTGTTTGGTCCACATTGATCATCTTACCTGACTTAGTATTGTTGAGATATGAATAGTATAGTAATACATTTAAATTTAATCATGTATTGGATATTAGGTTGTTATTCAAATATTTAAGAGAATCAAAATACTTTAAAATATTAGATAAAATAGCCCCAGCATTTATTTCTCTATGTTAAAGGAAAAGGAGGGTCCAGAAACTTTGGTCAAACTTTGTTTTGCCCACTAGATGGCACTGGCTAACCATCTCTTTTGCTTTGTAGTCTTTCAGTTAATGCTTTCTATTGTCAGCTGGCAAATTGAAGAGAGGAAAAATATAAAGGCTATTTACTGAGGATGTTGAACAAGGTAGAAGTTTTATTAATGGAGAACTGAACACATTTTGTAATTCAATTGCTAACAAAATTATTTTCTTTATTGTCATATATTTGCACAGTTAAAAGCAGGAAATAGGATCAGCATTGAAACATGTACAAAGAGTATGATCGGGCTAAATGCAATCAGCATTGACGAGGAATGTTTATCTTAACCAAATAATAAGTGGAGGGGAATGACGATAACATAATACATCTGCTGAGCTGCTTTGAAAAATTGTTTTTGACCACATATAATAGACCATTTGCATCTTCATGCTTCCTGCTCCCAAGAACACTAGTAGAACTTACAAATGTCAAGAGAGATTTTTTTTGCTGCTGAAGACTTTTACCTCAGAGTAAAGAAAAATGGTCCATCTAAGAAAAATTTGCTTGGGGGTCCCAGAATTTAAATTTTAGCACTGCTTGGTTTTTTGGATTGTATTTAACACTAGCCTGTTCTAACCTGTATAAAACCTTCAGTGTGGTTCATAATGGTCTTTCAGGGATGCCCTGATTCTAAGGTAGAGCTACGATTAGGAATCACTCAAGACATGGATGATATTATGCTTTTTTTTTTGGGACCTTCCAGAGGCAAAATTCTGAATTTAAAATGCATCAGGGTCTGTGACAATATAAGTGGAGAAGATCTTGGGACTCTCCACAATGAAGCAATCCAAAGAACCCTGTAGACCTTCTTCCCTGAAAGCCTAGACTAAGGAATATTAAAAACCACAAATGTTGAGCAACGTATTCGTGGGCCTTAAAATCGTACTTAAACAACACGGGAAGAGAGGATTAATGTTCAATAGAGTGCTTCTCCAAAGAGAAGAGGCAAGATACATGGGTAAATTTAGCAGCATCTGATGTATTTGTTGGTATTTTTGGAGATGAGGTAGGGAAGACCACTTTTAACAATCAGGGCTCCCATAATAGCCTTGTGGAAGTAGCCCCCCAACCTCGTGGCTTTCTCTCTGCCCTTTTCAGCGGTGTGGTCAATACTCAGGATATCTAAGGAGCCAAACTTTCCAAGAATGTTGGGAAACTATAATTCCCCAGCCCACAACCCCATCCT